TATTAATTATACTTTAAAATACAATAACAATTTAAATGCCAGTACTGTTTTCTTTTACAGAAAGCCTCTTTATTTGGCAACTCCGGTGGCTCAGCTGCTACACAGTCTCCTTCAAAATGAGGAAACTTGACAAAACATATCATATTCTGGCGTGAGTGGAAATTCCTCAGGGATTTCCCACTATGCTCGAGGTTCAAACCTGTGCTCCTGTGGGGGACACCGGGCTTCACTTGACCTGGCGCCAGTTCGTGTCCGCGCAGCAGCACCCAGCAGCACCCTCCTCTGACTGCCAGTGTCCCGCCCCCTGGAAGCAGGGCTGCTCCGGGCCCTCCAAGAACAGGCGTGTCTGTTTTTGCTGAACGCGCTACTTCTGGCCTCTCCACCGGCTCTCTGCCCTTTTCCGTCCAGACTTTTCTCAGCTTCCACTTCCTAGTTTTGATCCTTTTACCCTCTTTGCTTGCTTCCTGCACAGCAGTCCTTCCAGCTTGCACTTTTTTATCTGCTCTTTTCCCAGTCTATCTGCTCCACTATCACACATGCTCCGTGAGGGCAAGCTACGCACCGCTCTGCTCATGGACCTTTCCCTAATACCTATCTAGGAGCGCAGTGTGCACAAGAGTTAAGTCAGTGCGTGGCACATTCACCACCTTCCCCTGAGGAGCTGACCCTAGTACCTCACCTCTACTTTTTTTATATTAATTTTATTGACAAAGAAGTAGCAACAAGACAGTTTCAAAACAGGTTAGTAGGACAGTTACAATAATTAATACATTGCATATTGTTGTCTTTGTAATAGTTATTCATAATACAGGATGCAGACATGATATCTTGTCTAAACACTATTAGTTCAAAACTTTCTTCTCATTGAACTAAGAGAAAGTAGCTGTATATCTATCCTATTGTGTGTGTGTATGTGTATGTATGTATATATATGTATATTTACTACAAAATGATCCTTCATTTATATCCCTTTTTGTTTAGCTTTGTCAGAGATAGGCATTCCATTGCTATTCATATATTGTAGGTGTGTGAATTCAGCACAATAATCCAATATAGTCCAGTAGTCCATAATTGTAGTGGGTTATGTGTAGGATGGGTAATATCAGAAATTGTTGACTTGAGCTGTTTACAGCTCAGCATATTAATATGGCTTTACTTTTTATACCTCATTTTTATACGTTTCTGTTGGATGGTTAAGACCAAGATAAAGCAAGACCTATATAACAAGAAATGTAACTTTTGTATCTGACAAGGTCAGTCAAATCCCCTCAGGATTTACCCTGAAAGCCTGTATTGCAGTTTGCAGATCCTTTGTCAGTGTCAGCCATGTGGATGAGTCATGGCCATTGCTTGGCCAGTGTGCTCTCTGTGAAAGCCTGAGAGAGTGTTTTCTCTCCATGTGACTCTCCTTAGGCACACTCTACATCATTGATCACTTTCTTCTGTGGTCCCCAAATCTCCTTGATCAGAAAATTTGGGAAACCTCACCTCTACTTTTCACAGAACATTTTCTGCAAAAAAATTAAAAAATAATGAAAGATTAATTTTTTTAATGCAAACACTTGCTTTTTCTTAACCCTAGAAAGTGATATTTACTATTATGCTAAATATTCCTTGCCTTTAAAAGTGTTCATATCATTCACAATTTTCTTTTCCTGTTAATGTAGCATACTCAGTCCTCAGTCCTGTAAGACTGAGTGCTCCAAGAAGCTCATTAATGGGCAGACTCCACTGAATTTAACTCCCACACCAGCCCTAGATGCAACATTTGCCAAAGAAAAATTTCCAAGACAGGTCTTCCAAGTTAACTATCCAGAGACACAAAGCACACACTCTCATACACACTCAAAGACTCTCAGTAATTAATGATATAACTCATGAGGAAATCTGCTGTGCTGATCCTGCAACAGAAGTCATGAAACCTGAATTCAGAGGACTCTATTCTAGGTCTGTAGCCTTTCATATACACTTTATCAGTGTGGGCAGTTGGTTAATGTTCCTACAGTTAGGATTCTGGGATGCTTGAGAAAGAAAAATCAGGACTACGAGGGGATATATTCCTCTACTTTAAAGCACTCAGAGTACTTGGTTCTGTTTGATTTTGAGACTTTAACAGTGAACCAGTCACTGATTCATCTCTTTCTGAGTCACCTTTGAGGCTAAGACTTCAACTGATACACATTTTCAATACCTGGCGCCCATGGCTGAATCAGTAGTGAAAGCAGAAGCCAGAAGGAAAGTTGCTGTTTGGATGTGGGTTGGTCTAAAAGGAGCGACTCTCATGAAGCTGGACACATTGCCAAGTGATAGTTACATTTTACTGGAAGGCTTTCCCAGCAAGCAGGAGTAGGAATTCGGAACAAGTCTTTAACTTTTTGATTGTTCTGATGTCCCTGTGAACTCCATGATAGTAGCACTGCCTTGCACTGGGGGAGTGATTTATAATTTCCCAGTTTCCTGGGGACAGCACGAGGCAAGGGTGCCACCATCTACGATAGTGCTGGAGCAGCCTGGGAAATTCCGCCATGAATGACGGATGGCAGGGGGTTGCTGGGGCTTCCTGGCCGCCTCCTCACTGTGCACTTGTGTGATTAATTCACCCACTTGCTTAGGAAGTTGCTTTCCATCTGAGAAAATTAAAAACACCACTCTGGACAGGAATGTGGGGTCATAAATGAGGACCAAATAGAAAAGATTTACTCAAAAGCACAAGCTCAGCAAAAGAGAAAGCTTAGAAATTGCTAATAAGGTATAAATCAAATAAAGGCTATTAGCAATCCCCTCTAAGGGGGAGAAAGGGCCTTTTAAATGTTTTGTTGAGCTCTTAACAATGCCATTTCAACCTGAGGTGTTCGAATATCTGCAGGGTAATTTGGCTTGCCATTCAGCACCTCTGTGAAGATTTGCCAACTCTAAGGGCTTTGCATAAATGACATAGAGTACTGCAAAGCCTGTCTCTAGGATCATGGTTTTTAAGACCATAGGGTTTTTCTTATCTGTGTATTCCTCACAACTGTGAGTACAGAAATCACAAGTACTTATTTAATACATGAGCCAATAAGTGGTTGGGAGGATGGATGGGTGGGTGGATAAACACAGACCCACTGATTTTATAGATGAGGCCCCCCAGTAAGGGTCAGAGAGGTTGCTCATTGGCCTGTATTGCTAAAGACAACTGGATCAGAATTTCAACTACCATGCTTCTCCAGTTCAATCTAGTGTTCCAGAGGCAGGTTTTCCTTGCTTCCAATTGTTTCTGTTATCAAGAATTAAAAAGCATTAATAATATTGATTGGCAAGATGGTCTTGGTCCCTGGGAATCACTTCTGGTGCCTATGTGTGAGTGCATATATTTTTTCCCACTGGATTATCAGGAAAAATAGGTGCACAGTACGTTTGTTGTGGCCACTTTATGAGTTCAACAAGAATGAGAAAGCACAAAGAGACTTAAGTTGTGGGCCAGCCCCTACCAGCTGCTGCCGACCCCTGCCATGTCAGACACAGATGCCTCTGGAAGGGCCCAGGCCAACCTCACATCCTAAGAAGAAGTGCCTTGCCTGGGATGTCCAGTGATTGTTCTGCCTCTATTTATACATTTTAATGACAAAGAGCACATTGTGTTTCAGGGCAGCCTGTCTCCCTTTTGGAGAATTCCACTTAGTATCCAGAGCTTTGCAATATTCCACTTCCTGTTGGCATTGGCCTCAGATGTTTTCACTTTGGGCATAGGTCCTTGGTTTCCATCCTCATGGACTCAGAGACCAGCTTCCCTCAGCAAGGTTTGTGACTGTACTGAATTATGCCTGAGACAGATTCGTGAGTGGAAAAAATAACTTGGGAGGCTCTGTGCTAATGGTGGTGATGGACACTAGTGAGTGGTCACTTGAGGTAAGATACATCACCAGTGCTCCCAGGAGGTGACAGTGACCTGAAGTGGGCTGTGTGGTAGGTACTGTTCAGTCTTTGTTACAGCAGCATGGAACGCTGTTTGGTTTCATGTCCTGGAAAGCATCTGGGAAGAGGCCCCCTGGCCACTGCTTGCCAAAGCACAGCAATCTATAACAATCCTTCTGTCTGGGGACTTTTAATCGCTTTTATGGGTGCTCACTTCATGCCATGCTGTTCCCTTGGAGTAAGGCTTTGCAGAGGCCAGTCTTCGGGCCACCCAGATGCCACCTACTTCTTGTTCCCTGTGTCTCCTTTCTGCAAACATGGAGAGTAGGCCTGACTTGGAAAGTTCCATGAGGTAAGTATCTAAAAGCTCTCAAGTTTTTATATAAGAAATAGGCATTGCATTTTGTATATATTTTCCCTTACTACTGAGAATCTCTCTAAATTAGCACATCATTCCAGTTTGGGATAGGTCCTTCCCGGGATAAGAGCACAACTGAATCCCTGGCTGCTACAGGTTGGATTACTTTCTTTCTCATCCAAGGGATCCAGTGCGATGAACTTTCCTTTTTCTGATAGAAGCAGTTCTACAGTTTCAGATGGGCATTAAGCAAGGAAGGACAACCTGATTTACAGAAGCAGAACAAACTTTTCTCTAAATCTCTAAAACCTAGTAAGGCGACATGATGTTAGGCTGGGATATGACAAATTCTCAAGCTACCACTGCACTTTAAACATGCCCCAGAGTCAGCTGTGAGTGAGGAGACACCTATCCTCCATCCCCTTCGGACCCAGGGTCCTCCTGACACCGCCCAGTGGGTTTGTGAGGCCTTCTAGAGGTCATGATCTCTAAAAGAAGACAGCATCTGTCCCTATCAGGGAAGGGGACCACCCTTACGCCATGGGGCCTTGGAAGCTGACCATGCATGACCCTGCGGAGTGGCATGCCTTACCCTTGCTACTTGGCAAGGAGTCTCTTTTTGAAAGTTTTCATGGAGACTCTGACGACAAAAAAATTAGGGGGAAGGTTTTGTTTTTGCTCAGATGTTGCCTGAGACATACTCCACACAGTGCACAGCTCTCAAGGCTGCGGGAACCTTGGTACTTGCCCAGTGGAAGGGTTCATGATGCAGCCTCCTTTGTCGGCAGCTGTCCTGCAGCTGCAGCCCCTCTCCAGAGTGTCGTGGTTCATCCCGAAGTTGTGTCCTAGCTCATGTGCCAGGGTCACGGCCGCACCAAGGGGGCTGTCTGAATGGTCCTCAAAGAAAACACAAGAGCACAAACATATAGTTCACATCCCTCAGTCTGGTTTGCCCCTGTCCTCCCTGCTTCGTGGATATTTACCTGTTGCTAACACTTGACCAAGTTAGATTTCCTATGAAGAACTGGCATAGATCAGTTATCTACTTTGAAGTTAAAAAATGGACATAATGCATTAAGTTTATTTGGATTTTCTTTTGCTGAGGACTCTATGTTATGTCCTTATATATGAAATGACTGTGGCAGTCATGTCCACCACGCATCCTTCCATCTCTCACAAAACAGCGTCCCACTGAATGAAGAAGAAAGTTGTTCTCTGTCATAGGAAGAAGAAAAAGCTCCCAGGAAATCCAAGAACCGTTTTACTCCCCGTCGGGACCATGCCCTGTGACATTCAAATAAGCCCTGCGAAGTTCTGATGGATCCTGCCTCTTCCTGTTGATTTGGAGGAGGGGAATACTTGGAGTGTTCATGGTCACTGACAATAAAAGCTGGACACGTGGAGGACTGAGTGTAAAGACTCATGATTCAGTTCAGATGATTATTCAATTATATCTAATTCTCGCTAGGCTTTTGGGTTTTCTGGTTGGCTATGGAAATGGGTGGCATCCTGACTCTCAGACAGTACTGCTGTGGTTCATATAAACTTTTGCTGGGCTCTGGGAGGTGTTTTCTCTATCCAATGAGCACTGCTGGCCACCACTAACTTAATGAGGTGCTTGAGTGGTGTGACTCAACAGATACTTAGGAATTCACCAAAAGATGTTGGTATATGCCCTCAACTAAAATTTGTTAATTAGTGGATGTGATTACAGAAATTGCACCACTGAATGGCATTTCTTTTCCTTTTTTTGAGACAGGGTCTCTCCATGAAGCTCAGGCTGGCCTTATACTCACTTTATAGCCCCGACTGCTCTTGAGCTCACAATAGTCTTCCTGCCTCAGTCTCCCAAGTTCTGGGACTACAGGCATGTGCCACCATGCCTGGTCTGGAAAGGCATTTTTAAACAGGCCTGTGTACAACAGACCAAAGAGGGTAACATGCTTCAATCTTGTTTTGTGCTGTACAGGAAAGGGGTTTCCCCCCAAAGCATCCAGGAAATACTGTGATGTTGTATTTCAGAGCGATTGTTATTCCTGACATAGTCTTTGTGGGGTCTCTGCCTAATGTGTGTGCATGTAGGCTCTTACAGATCTGTTGGTGGTATTTATGGCTGCAGCGATCTCCCTCATAAGCCCACAGTCTATGAAAAAGAATGGCATGTTTTTCGTAGAACAGATGAAATTCCGAATAAATTATTTTGCTTAGATTATACAGTTTCCTGCTGTAGAAAACCTTACAAATATGTTTCAGGAAATCAAGTCTTAAAATAACACACACTGGAGAAGAGAATGTGGTTAATCTAAGAATACCGAGTTTAGCATGTTTTGACATAAAATTCTAGGGATTTGTTCTTAAAGAGTACTTCTGTATCACTGAATATCAGTTTTTAAACGACCAAGTGACGTTACACTCATTTACACATAAGTGATTAGAAACACAGTCTCTTAAGAGACCCAGATAGTTTTATTTATTTATTTTTGTATCTTAGGGAAGGGTCTGCAGGGTGTTCAGGGTCTCACTACTAGATCAGACTCATAGTGATCCGCCTGTTTACAGCCTCCCAAGAGCTGGGATTACAGGCGCATGCCACCACGCCCAGTCTCAATTGCCATCTCAGCTGGCACAGCAGGCCAGGGGATCAAACCCCAGCCTGCCATGCCTGCTTGCAGGCCCTTTAATCCACTGAGCTATTTGGCTGGCCCTTATGTTTTTAACAAGGAAAAAAGCCAATATTTTTATTTATGGCATTATTTCCAAATCAAGGCTTTTTTTTTTTTTTTGAACAGTTCAATATAGAGGCATGGCTTTAATATAACTAAAATTAAAGGAAAAAAGTAGAGAAATGTGACTAGAAACAGTATTTTGAATTTTATGAAGATTCCTTGCCACTTTCTTCCCTTTCTCTTAGCTTTGACCTTGTTAGTCACATGTACCAGAAGTCTCACAAATGAATTCTGTTCCAGGAGAGTGTTCGTTAGGTTGGACTCTTTTGTAAGTCTGGTGAAGTGTCTTATATACCTGTGCCGCACAGATGTAGTGCGGATGGCTTTGTGCTTCCCAGCAGTCCCCTCCCCACCCCCACTGCTTTTTCTCTTGCTTCCTGACATCCTGGGCCCTGCCTGCACTCTGCACTGGAGGACACTATCCCACGTACAGGAAGCACACGAGCGTGGCAGCGTCTGGCAGACACGTGAGCTACTTCTGAGATGTGCTCCCACCTGTATCTCTGAAAGTTCACAACTCAAACATTTATAAGGCAGAGACTTACTGTAGCACTCAAAACTTTCACTTCAGAGATACGATAAGAGAAAGCATAGAAAATTCGATCTTGTGAAGACGTTGATTCTGCTGTTTTCATGAAATTCATAGAAATTGGAGATGCTGTGTGCATTATTCACCCTATTTGATACTTCTCTTGTGTGTGGAATAAGGAAGGAATTTGTCTAAGGATAATGTTCACTGCTCTCATATTGGTAAGACATTTCTTTATAATTCACTTTGATTTTGACTTGATTTTAATGGCATTGCAAATGGAATTGTTTCATATTTCTCACATTGTTTTTCAAACAGTTTTTTTAAAAAATGTTTTCCTACATACATTTAAAGAAGGAATCTTGATAAAATGGTTCTGTGGAAGGAACAAGGGCTGAAGCCCAAGAAAGCCACGTAACGTGCTCAGATGGGCTGTAGGGTCGCTTCAGCTCTGCACAGAAGCAGGAGCTTACGAAGAACTCAGCTCCAGCTCTCAAAATAAATTTATGCCAGTTTTAAGTGGCAAAGTCAGTAGCAACTAACCATGGAACCATGAAACTGAAAATTATCCCCTCTTAAAATTTTATAGGCCACTCTGTAAAAATACAGTTGTCATCTAACTTGAAATTAGCCTGGCACCAACAAAAACCAAACTTTCCAATGGCTTCCATGGTGGCGATCACCTCCGGGGCTTTCCTCTTGAAAGGAAACCAGGGGGCGTATTCAAGCCAGCAGCCCAGGAAGTGGGTGCAGTCCCCTTCCCTCCAAAAGCCTACCCATTGAGTTCATGCTTACGTTAATTACCAACCACTGCACCCAAAGAAGAGGAAAATGTTTATATGCACTAAGAAGATTAGATTAGGCAGAATGTGGAGAGAAAATAACAGTCAGCAGAACATAACTCCTTTCACTCTTCACTACAACTGAACATTCACAAACATTCTGTCTGAAAGATGTGGAGGAACCCACCGTTTCCTGGGAGGGCAAAGCTGTGTTTGTTTAATAGAGGAGGAGGAAAGACTTGGGGGAGACTCCCTGTCTGAGTGCTGGTTTGGGAAATGCTAGATTTTTCAGAGCAGAGACAGTAGCGTGAAAAACCCTTCTTGAACAATCTGAGGGGCTGCAGTAGGAGCCCCCTGTTGGGCAGCCTATCAAGGCTCCCTCCTTCTTAAAATCATAAGAAACCCCAAATATTCTTCCCATCTTGTTTCCTTTTACAAACATATATAGGCCATATATGACAAAGTTACCCTTGTAAAGCAATAAACCCAAGGTCTCTGCCTTCCAAGAATAAGGTTATTTTAGAGACAAATGGTACACTGGCCAGAAGGTATGTGAAGCATTTGCAGTAGTAGAGTTAAAAACCTCAGATTTTTGGCTGTTGGGCCCAGGCAGAACCATCAGAAAATTACTTGAACAGTAACATTTGGTCAGACCACAGTTCATCCAAAAAGCTGAGTGATAAGGGCAACCCCAAAGCCCAGGCGCATCCCAGCACTAGGAGGAATCTGTGGATTGGAATGTTTTGACCAAAAGTTCTAGCAGCAAAGTTTTCACCATAAAAAGGGATGATTTTCCCCCACTGGAGTTTTGAAATTTAATTTTTTAACACACTCACCATGTCTGTATACAATTTATATTTTCTAAATGATCTCTAAAATACTGGGGCCAATATAAGATTACAAACATGGCTAGGATAGGGACAGAGTTAAGTATAAGGAACCTTAAAAGAACTCATTTTACAACCTCTGACAAGAGTAGGGATTTCCTGGGGGACCATTCCCAACAAGCCCACTCTACGGTGTCCTCAGCTTACCATGACAACTCCTCCAGACTGTTCTGCGGTGCACATACTCATGATTGGTGCCATGCCAATGGTGGTCCCTTGAAAATAAACCCCACTAGGAAACAAAAAGAAAGACTTCAGTATCACCTGCAATGGATGCATTTCCTGATATTTCAAATTTTACGCGTGTGCCAGCAACCGTATATGCAAACAGCCGCATGAGGGCATGTTTACATGTGATTTTTAGCTTTTCCTCTTTACATTTTATTTCCAGGTGCATCACGGTCCTATGATCCTTGTAGACTTTCGTTGTCTAGACTCAGACAGTAGCCAGTTATCACTTCGCTTTTATAGGTCATGGCTTGTCTATTTCCTGATAGGGGGAACTGCTACTTGCAAATGATATTTGCTGACAGAGAGACCAAAGCCAGATACTGAGAATTGTTGTTGGTAAGGAAATACATTAGGTGCATTAGTACGTTTCTGTCCTATCTAAATTTTGCTTTCCTTTCTAACCCACTGCAGTCCTGTTAGAGATCTGCACACCTTCAAAAGGTCCTGCCAATATAGCTTGTCAAGTTGAAATAGGTAGAAAAGGGAGTGTTGGTCCTAGAGCCGGGGTAGAATAAGTAAGTGCCTACAACACCTCGGCACCCAGGCGGAAGCTTCTGGAAGGGGCTTGAAGCTTCCGATCAGGCTTCCTCCCTTCTGAAATCTTAATCTGCTTATGAATCTAATGCTATGAGGGACACGTCTAATGAAGATGCTTTTAAATCCAGTCATTATATGTTTTGACTCTCCTTTTGAGGAATCGATTGATTTACTTTTGCTATACATGATATACACATATAGACAATGTGAATATTGTTTGAAAAATCAGATATTATAGCTGTCATCAGTTGGACAGAAACAGTAAGTATATACAAACCTCTATCTGTCTATCTGTCTGTCTATCTGTCTATCATCTATCTACCCATCCCACTACAGGAATCTGTTGGTATTCATGAGGAATTGGTTCCAAGTCCCCTTCCCCCCCATAAAAGGCTATAGATGCTCAAGTTCATTATATAAAATGATAATATATTTGCGTATAACCTACAAATACCCTCCCATATAATTTTAAAAATCTCTAGATTACTTATAATACCTAATGCAATGTAAATGTGATGTAAATAGTTGTTATGCTGTATTATTTAGGGAATAATGACAAAAGAGCCTAAACATGTTCAGTACAGATGTGGTTTTTTCATGCATATTTTCTGTCTGAGCAAATTCGTAGATATAGAACCCTCAGAAGATACAGAGGGTTGCATATTTTCAGCACTAAGGATTTCAGGATTTGTGTTTACATTCTATATAAACCATATGAATAGATAGAACTGCATATGTCTATAAGTAATAAGGTTATAGAAGATGTTAATTTATTTCCAGATGTTAAAATTGGACAGATTCCAGTGGGGGGAAAATCAAAACAAAAACACTTGGACTCAAAATATATGAAATGTATTTTAATAATTCAAAACTAATCAATGCATAAAATATGAGGCAACCACAAATACCCAAGGAAGGAAACCCCCCACCATGAAAATAACCAAAATAGATGACTAGGGGGTGCCAGCAGCCTTAGAGCAGATATAGACAGTTTCTAATGTGAGAACGAAATTTCCATAGATGTTCAATAAACCAGATCTGACTTGCCAAAGAAAGTGCCCTTTGACCCTGAAGCTTTGCTTCCACGATGTGAACTACATGACCACAAAAGACTCATGATACAAAGTGCTTAAAGATTCAAATGAACAACTGCCACTCTTGGAAACATCTACTTTGTACCAATTCAGACTATAATAAGAATATTCTCTTCTTTGAATGATAAAGGTGTTATAAGATCCCACCATAATTATGTTATGTTAGAGCTACGTTTTCCTTCATTTTTATTAACTTCTCAACATTTGCTATCTCTTGAAATTTTCTGGATTTCTGTTTGCTCAGTAGACTGACAACTGTCCAGAGCAAGGAATGTAAAGGCTGGTCATCACTGAGCTTCGCACCTCTACAGCAGAGTCTGTTTCCTACACAGTGGCCAGGAGGTTCTGATTAAAGACAGGACACAAAGTCATGTGCTCTGCTGTGGGGACTGTGACCCAGGGAGCCAGAGAACAACAGTTCAGAAGAGAGTGGAGAGCTTTTGTCCTCCAGGCATCTGACAATAGTCAACCAAATGTCTTGTCCTGAAGTCTTATATAAGCATGTAGTTTTCATTGATAATATGTAAAAGGGGCCTTATAAAACAAATAGCCTACAGGGACAATTTTATAGCAAGACTAAGGGCAGAAAGTTGGTATAGGGGAAAATGTCCAAGTTACGGAAGAAGGCAAGGCTACTTCTGCAGAGAGACAGGCTTCCCAGGGTGCAAGGGGCCTTGCCTAATAGACCTGGATTCCAGATCAGGATGGTGATGCCCTCATGGGAGCTGCTTACCCTGCAGAAAGGACTGGAGCTTTGGGGCTGTGCAGGAGCAGCTAAGAGGAGAGGTTGTGCAGAGGATGCGATTTATTTAAGCAAAAGAAAGTCAGAAAAACCTACCTGATAAGCTGTGCATTGTCATGGGATTTTCGAGGTAGAAGCTTCATCTTCCTCCAGTCCAGAAACTCATGGAGGCTGGTGAATGGGTCCTGACTAATGGAGCACTTGTCTATGTCGTTCCATACTTCCACACCGACCAACACTATTCGGATGTTCAGTGATCTGTAAAACTGAGGAAAGCAGGCCTTCTTGATGTATCACATTCACAAGAACTTAAAAATCTGAACAGATTGCATTACTTGAAATTCATTGGCATGGCGAGAGCACCATCTTTGTGTCTTCATTCACATGACGTTAAAATTCAAAAATATTTGAAGTTCTTGACTCAAGGTGATGCAATAACCTGATTCTCAACTGTTTACCGATGAGATACTACAGTTATTAGCCTTTTTACTATTTTCTGTCTCTGTACAAAACACATTTCAGATGATTCATTGGTGATTTACATGTGCACATCGATGTACATTACAGCTAAAACCTGCTAGTTAATATCCACCGAAAGAAAAACAATGAGTGGATTAGGATCTTTTAGACACTTCTGCCAAGGACAATAATTTGTTCATCTTAAGCAAAATGTTCTGCCTATGAGGTACTGCAAATGAATCCGTATTAATTTTTCATCAAGGACTCAGCTTTGGCTGACACTATCATATTCTGTCACCCATAATCAATGTAGGAGGTTTTAATTAAATGAACAAGTCAAAGTCCTTCAGGATACTAACGGCATGAATGGAGCCCTTCTTCAGGAACGTGAAGGAGTCTTCTCCCCACTGCCAGAGTTAGCTCGGCACTGGGGAGGAGCGAAGAGCTGCTAAATGAAGCCTTCTTGAGACCAAGCTCCAGGCGCATGAAGGAAGCTACTCTTCTTACCCCTCTTCTTACCCCACCTTTAGGTCATCGTGACTCAACCTACAGCCTATATTTTCCAGGAGATTGTCTTGAGTCAGGAGGGAAAGACAAGTGTTCCAGGGGCTGTGGGGTGGTTTTCATCTCGCTTAAATCTAGTTGGGCAACACGAGCAGTTGGAGCAGAGGCATGCACTTCCCGTTGTTCCTCACTACTTCACTGCTCCATGTACATCACACTGATAGGGACATGGCTCTGCAAGCACACTGGGGGGAGAGCGGCATAGGGTTACCTGTACTTTTTTTTTTAATGCCACTGATGAATGAAGGAACATGCATGACAACATCCTCATCTTCTGAGACCCCACGTAGCCGAGGAGAAAACTGTAGGCTAGAAGTAGCAGCCTGAGCCGTGGCCAAACTCTAAGTTCTGTTTGTAGCTGCTGGAAGCATCTGGCCAGCAAGTAACAAAAACCATAGAAGCTGCACATGTGAGAGTTAAGCACCATTCCAGTGCAGTAAGTTAAAGTTCAAGAAACTCCCCAAAGATGAACATCTGACCCCAGATTCTAGCCCGTGGAAGGCAGCTCGTCTTTTGCTGGCTGGCCGCTACACTCGTATGGATGGTGAGCACTGGGTCAGCAGAAGATTACACTGATCTCAGGGATCCAACTTGGTTTCAAACTGATAACAATTACATTAATAATTTAATGAGGCAATTACATAACCAGAATGCTGCCCAATCGTATGTTTTTAATCAAGAACTGCTTGACCTGAGGTATCTACTTGGAAGCTCCTTCTGCCAGGCATCGCAGGCAAAATTAAGTTCTTGGACCGCCTTGAATGCTGCATGCACACGTTTGGCTGGGCCTTTGTGAGATGACATTTTCAGCTGTGTCCTATACAAAGGTGACAGTGGTCAGAAAGCAGACATGAAGGCAGTCCCATGCTGAAGCTTCCATCGGCTTGCTAAGAGACATTTTCAGGGCCAGATACCTTGAGAGGGCTCCAAAATTGTCATCCGAGGACACTGCTTTGCAGTGAGAACAGGAACTAAGTTCGTCAAGGGGCTAATTTGTCATTGTTTGGCAGTGCCAGCTTTGTTGCTTATTAATCAGGGAGATTTTTAGAATAATGAAGGGGTTTGCAATTCCAAGTACGAGCACTCTCAAACCATGTCCCAGAACAGATGCCATAGTAAGCAGAATATAACACACAGCCCCTCCCCAGGTTAGTAAGTTGGTGCTATCAGTTAACTGCACATGTGCTAAACTCACATGAAGCCATCATTGGCTCATGGTCCCTTTATGCTGGCTCGGTATATTCTTCCATGGTTGCCTGTGAATTCCTTTCAGTTACTGTCAGGAACAATGAACACTGCTAACAAATACTAAATGCTATTATACTCCTGGTTGCTTCATGCTAAGGTACTTTTGTAACTCAGCTCATTCCTCATAATGATTTTATGAGTTGCAAACTGTAATTGCTCCCACTCTAAAGTCAAGGGCATTGAGACTGGGAGGAGGGGTCAGATAAATCACTGGGTCATAACTGCATGGCGGAGCTTGGACACAGGTCAAGCCACTGTGATGCCTTGCTCTGAACTACTAAGCAACATGCCACACTAGGCAGATGCTGAGACTCCTATGACCTCAGGCCCAGAGAGCAGCTCACAGGCTTTGGCAGGACAAATGGGACTTGGCAGCTGCCTGCCTGGCTTAGGAATCCCAGAATATGCATGGGCCTGCTGAGTCATTTACACAATAGTCACACAGTTTGCTCAGCTCTTGCTGTAGATTAGGCTTGGCATACACAGAATACAAAATTTAGGATGTCCTTGCTCTTGTTTACCTATAGGAGACCCCTCAGGGGCTTATGGCACAGGACACTTCACCATTATTCCAGTTAATTGTCATATAATGCCCTGCCAAGCATTGGTGCAAACAGGAAATCCAAGGATGCTCTTTTGGAGGGACCAAGGAAGACTTCTGGAAGGAGTGGATCTGAAATACAGGGATGGCATTCAGAGCTGCACCTTTCAGATAATGGGCTTAGGATGAGAGGGGAAGAAGATGTCATAGGAGCAGAATGCCCAAAGAAATCCAATGTGCAGAAGATAGGTCCTTTCACACTGCTTTCCTGTGTTAGCTTTTTATCAATGGGATGCAATAGCCAAGAAAAGCAATTTAGAGGAGGAAAGGTCCGTCTTAGTCCATGGTTGGTTGTTTCATTGCTTTGGCAGAATGGCTGCAGAAGAGGGTGGAGGAGGAAGAAAGCTGCTCCCCTCACAGCAGCCAGAAAGCAGAGTGGGAAACACGGAGCCAGAAGGGAAGGGGCTAGGGACAGCATGGAGCCCCCAAGGCCACGCCTCCATGATCTGTTCCCTTCACTATGTCTTTACTTCCTCATCTCATCACTTCCCAATAATGCCATCAAATGATCTCATTAATGGGTTAGCCCATTGATAAAATTAGAGTCTTCTGGACAAATCACTTCCCAAAAGCCTATCAGCTAACAACAAAGTCTTCAACACAGTGAGCCCTTTGGGGGAGCTATGATGGATCTCAATCACCATAGTCAATGAACTTGAGCCCCCCAAAATTCCCAGCAGATGTAAACTTATGGATAAGTAAGGGGGATGAGCTACAGTGAAGGCTTAACGTGTCACAGCTAGCGGTCACTTTATTCATGAGTACATACTCTTCTGGCTGTGTTTTCATCAGCACTGGGAGAGAATGCCTGGAAGTTTGGCCTAAAGGCATAAGTATCAAACATGTGTTTTTCTTTCCACTTACAGGGGCTTTCCTGAATGTTTCACAATGTCACCTTTGTCACTCAAACACTTCTGTATCTTCGCCATGCTGGTATGGCCTTCCCACTCTCCAGGCCAATACAGCTAAGTAGCTGTAAATTTAGAAGGGCCCAGCAGAGCCAGGCCAGCAAATAAGGAAGTGCCCACTGGACAGCCGCTGCCTTCTGGGCCTAGACTCCCACAGGTAGAATTGCAAAACTGAAATTTGGAGCGCAGCGCATAGAACCAGGCTCATCCATCAGCAGCCTTAGATACAGCGAGTCTGCCAAGGAGCCTGGCTATCTCCTGCCGGGTCTCTGGGGGCTGCTGGGTATGGATGGCAATGTCAGAGCCAGACACATCAGTGTGCTCAGCGAGTTGTCTGTGTACCCACCGGGAACATGAAAAAAATCAGGCTGGCACACCTGATCGAGTCCATCTGGAGTTTTCTTTAATTTCCAGTGCAAGTTATTAACAATCCCCTAATTGCTCATTTTTGGTTTTGCACACTGAAGCAGGATATAACCTATAAAATTATGCAGAGACAGATAAACACAGAGGGCTGAAGCAGTTTAACAAAGGGGTATCAGCAATTTCCAGGTTGGTGATAATGTAGTTCATCATTCCTTGAGATTTCCGAGGCTTGAGAATATTGCATGTTCTCTTCCTTCTGGATAGTCTGAGGATAGCTTCAGGCCTTCCAGGCAACAGTATGTCTTGCTGACCATGGTGAAGTGGCCTGTGCTTGTGACTCAGGCATCTAAATCTTCCACCTGTCCATCACTGCTTCTTAGATTTGCTTTACGTTTGAATCACTGGACAACCTTGGACAATATTCAACCCCCTCTAGCCAATAGGGTCAGAATCCTTGGGCTGAGAGCTGGAGACTGGTATTTCATAATAAATCACATAAGGAAATATACAAAACTCCCTAGTGGATTTAAATGACTAGCCTGGACTGTGATCCAGCATTTATTTTTATGTTGCCTTTGACAGAGATTCTGATCTGATCGGCTTTGAATCGGTCTTGGCTATGGATGTGGCTCAGGGTCCTCTGCTGACTCATTCTTTACCCTCCCTGTCAAAAGAACTGATTGGTTACCAGGATTCTTCTGCATGTGCTTGACCTTAGGTGGGACACAGTTTAATGTGCAAAGAGTTACTGCTGAGAATACATTAACAGGCATGGTGCAATTGCAACTTGCCTTAGAGGTCTGGTGGACAAGCATAATATCGTCCCACAATATTGGTAGCTATCTGTATATTCCTGAATTTCAAAAAGTTCCTCCCAGCCACAGCCTCCAAGTGCTGAGTCCAGAGCTCAACTACTCAGACCCACAAAAACCCCTTCTCACTCCTGCACTCCTGGGGTCCAAATATCATCTACCTGACACTCTGCCACCACTTGGAGTCATGGTCATGTGGGCTCCTACTCTTTCCCAGCCTCTGCTTGGTCACAGGTTTCCAGACTCATGGCAAGTAGTGGAAATGTAGGCTAAGAGCCCTTGCTTGGGTCAGAGAGAGAGAGAGAGAGAG